TATTATAGTAAGGCTTAGAAGAAGCACTTAGAGGTTAAATATATATATATAGGCTATTAGGCTAACGTAGACCTAATACCTAGAGACTAAACTATTATACTTATACTTAACTATTTAATCTCTAAACTAAGCCTTAGAAACTAGCTAATAGACTTATAGATAACTAAAATAACTCTTAAAATAAGCTTCTAAATAGGCTACGTAGAATACTAGTAGAAAAGATATACTATTAGCTTTATAATAATAAGTATATATTACTCTAAACTACTTTTAGACTATTTTTAGCTTAGTAGTTTTAAATATTCTACTTATTATACTCTTTACGTTTAGTTTTATCTAGAGTAGTTTTTAGACGTACTCTTAAACTAGTGTTTTTATATATCTATCTAAGACTATAAACTATATAAGCTTTATATATCTTACTATTACTATAGTTAATAACTTTTATACTATATAGTATTAGTATAGTATCTATTAAGTATACTCTAAAGTAACTTACTTACTAATAGCTTTTACTAAAAATATAGCCTTACTTATAGAGTTTATTCTATAATAATTCTACTCTAAATTATTACTATCTTAATATTAGATATTCTACTATACTTTAGGCTTAATAAGAGACTTTATAAGATATAGGTCTATAGTGTATATACTTCTATTTTTTTTATTTTTTGTTTAGACGCTAATTTTGCTATTAGAGAATATAGCTAAAATATTAGTCTAGTATAGACTTAGTATATTCTAGATATACTAATTAGACTCTTAATAAATTAGTTATATTTTTTTAATATCTTATAGTTAATAAAATTCTTAATAGCTCTATTTAAGCTTTCTATATTCTAGTTTATACTCTAAGTTAATTTTATAATCTCTTTTATAAAGTAGACTACGCAAAATATAATAATATATATAATATACTATTACTAATCTCTACTATTATAAGTAGTATATATAAAGTAATTACTAAATTCTATAAATATATAAGTAATCTTAGTATATTCTACTAGTATAGTAATATACTACTAAGCTACTTAGTATATATATCTATAATAATAATTTAAATTCTAGTTCTATTTTAGTAGTACTAGTTTATAGAGTATTCTACTATACACTATTCTTAGAATACTCTAGTAAATACCTTCTAGTATATCTTTCTAGTATCTCTATTAATATATACCTATATAATTATATAGACTATAGTACTATATTAGATTAGTCTAAGTAAGAACTATATAATATATATTTATCTAAGCTCTCTAAGTAAGTAGTAAAGGTAATCTTCTATATAGATTTTATAGCTATACGCTTAAAACTTATATTAATAAAGAACTAGCGCTAAAAACTATCTTAGAGTAGAGTAAGTTAAGACTAGAAGAATATAATAATAACTAGGTTATTTCTATTATAGTAGAAGTATTTAATATACTAGATAATGTTAGTCTAGAGTATACTAGAATTACTTCTATTCTATACTTACTCTATCTAGCTTTCTATACTCTACTTAGTAATATATCTTAACACTTTTAATTCTATTATTATAATATATTATAGTTAAATTCTTTTTATAATAGAGTGCTTAGAGTATATTAAGATTATTTAGAAAGGCGTACAGCTTAGCTATTAATACTAGGCCTTTATTTTAAAGTAGTTTATAAAGAAGATAGTTTTATAATAAAGTTACTAGTTAGAATTAGTCTTAGTTAGTACTTAATTAATAGTGTATACGTACTTATATTTTAACTACCTTCTTATATAGTATAAATAATTTAATATAACTCTTTCTCTATAAGTAGTAGAAGCTTAGATAGTAGAGATAGTAAGTAGTTATAGTTATTATAAAATACTATAATAATTATAGAATTAGTTTTAATTTTAACTAGAATAAAGATATAGAAGATATTTAGATATAGACCTAGTTCTAGAAATTATATTAGAAAGTTAATAATTAGTTTTTTACTAGTAAGGTAGATAATCTCTAGTTAATATAAGTATTAACTAAGATAGCTCTTACACGTACGTATAGTAGGTAGGTTTTCTTACTCTATTCTACTCTATAATATAATACTTAGTTATTACTAAAGATATATAATCTTCTTAGAACTATTATATTAAAAAGAGTATCTCTAAGTTATATTTAGAAGAGATCTTTCTTTTAAAATACTTACTCTACTAAATACTAGCGTTATATTAATAGGTATATATAATATAGTACTATAGAGTTTTAGATGTTATCTTATAAAGTTAGTCTATACTTAGATAAGTTTTTATATTAGTATAGTATAGAGAAGATATAAGATAGCTCTTAACTTATAATAATATTTATATTCTACTAGATAGTAAGCTAATAAGTCTTAGTATTATACTTTTTATATAAAGTTCTAAAATAAAAGGTTCTAATTATAGCTATAAAGTAGCTATAACTATTAGACTAAATCTAGTAGAATCTAGATTACTATATACCTATAGATCTCTTACTATATAGAGTTTTTATTCTTATAGAAATAGATCTTATATATAGTATTAACTATACTCTTACTATAATAAGAGTAAGATAACTTTTATACTTAAGAACTAAGCGCGCTATAGTATTTAATACTTTAGTACTTATATTTATAGTAATAGTATTTAATATTATCTAGAATTTAGACTCTTATACTATAATTAGTCTTAAAATCTTTTAACTTATTTATATCTTTTTTCTAAACTTAGCTATAGCTATACTAGATTACCTTATAAGCGTTAGTAAAATACTAGAATAGACTAAGTATTCTTTTATACCTTAACTACTAAAAGAGTCTAATATTAAGTTTTTATATATAGTAACTCTACTATATATATAGTACTAGTAGATAAAGTATAAGAGTATATTAGTACTATAGTTATATAAAAGAGTACTAATACCTCTAAAGAAGTAGTCTAAGTACTATCTTAATTCTAAATAATAAAGTTATTATCTACCTTAACTTCTACTTTACTATTTAAATTAACTAGTATATTAAGTTTAATCTTAGTATCTTTTAGATAATAATTACTAGAATTACTATTAATATTAATATCTAAGAACTTAGACTATTATAAGTTAGAAATAAACTTAGTATAATCTAGGTAATATATATATATATCTTTAGAAGGCTTCTTTAGATTTAGCTAGTAATATACGTTTTATAGTAGTATAAAAGAAGTTTATACTAGTAGCTTAGCTACTATATAAGTAAACTAGATATTACTTTACTTATTATTAGCGTAAAATATAGACTATAACTAGACTAAGTATATACTAAACTTTTAACTACTCTAAATACTATCTACTTATATATACTTTATTAAAGACTTTTCTAAGTCTCTTCTAGATACTACGTATATAAAAGATACTATAAATATATTATAAAATAGATTTAATAGTATATAACTATACTAAATAAAGTAACTATAATTTATCTAAAATAAATTAAATTAGTAAGAGCTTAGTATAAGCTATACTATAGTATATCTAGGTTATATATATACTTAAGAGAAAAAGTTACTTAGTTAGTAACTTATTTAAGTATAAGTTTAAAGGCTTATTATAGTTAATAGTACTACTAGTAGTAGTATTAATTAGTAAGAAGTTAATAGTAACTAACTAAAGTTTATAAAATTAGACTAGATATACTTTATAACTAAACTAGATAGTAATTAAGTATACTATATATTAGCTAAAAGACTTAACTATATATAGTCTAAAGTTCTACTAAAGCTACGCTATAATTTATTATAAAGTAATTATTATATATTTAATTTAAAGTAGTAAGTCTATATTACTAGAGTAGTTTTTAGGTATAGTTTAGGTTTTATTTCTATATAGATTATCTATAGCTAAGCTAATAAAAAAAGCTTTTATACTACTATAGTATTAGTAATAAAACTTAAGTATATTAGACTATACTAAGTATATACTAAGGTTAAGAATAGAGATTTTAGTTCTATATATATTAGATTTAGATCTATCTTAGTTTAATCTAATATAGTATTAAGAATAAATAAACTAAAAATTCTAGAGTACTAAGCTATTCTAGATACTAAGTAAAAATAGCTAAGGTGCGTCTTTATAGTACTTACTAAAGTTACTTAAGGTTACGCTGTAGAACAGCTAAGCTACACTATCTATTTATTACTGCTTAGCTTATCTTTTGTAGTAGCTAACAGCTAAAACGCGAAATACGTGCATAAAAGTAGCCTCTATAGCGAAAGCTGCATTTGAAATGTAAACTACAGATAGTAGAAACGGCACGGCACGCTTGTATAAGTAGATACAATTAGAACATGTCTACTACTACTAATTTCTGTTCCTCTCCTGTTAACATAAAGGTCTCGACTTTAGCAACGGCAATTTTGTATAGCGGCGTCGGTGCTAGCCTTGTAAAGAACGATGCATTAGCAGTTGAAGCACTTGCGAAGCTTACGTCTAACGTGGCTTAAAATAGCTACCTAGACGCAGAAAAATGCACGTTGGACAATGTTGCCGTCCGACGAGAATGGCAAGTAGAAGGCACACGCGTTTCGCGGTAACTTGACTTACACAAATATAGGTCCACTTTATCGGAGGATTAGAAGCTTAACTATATCGATGCCGTCAAATGCCTAGGCGAAAAGCTAGCGGGGACCCCAGCGGCAATAGCCTCGGGCGCAAAGAGCTGGTTTGACGACTTCATCGTTACGTACATTCTGCAAACAATGAGCATTCATGGCACGGTACGCTGAGAATGCACATCCAGCTAAGTCCGACTAAAGTAGAACAGGGGAACTTCCTTAGTTGGCATCGCTACTATATTTAGGTCTACGAACAAGCTCTTCGCAACGAGTGTGGCTACAAAGGCTATCTCCCATACAACAACTGGTCCAAGTAGGCAGGAGACCCGCTCTCATCACCTCTCTTCGACGGCAGCAAGACCAGTATCTCGGGTGATGGCGAATACGTTGCTGGAAGAGGATCCTGGTGCATTCCTAACGAAGCGCGCTGCATGGTCACTTTCCACTCTGCCAATGGTGGAGGCTGCATCAAGTCTGGACCGTTCAAAGAGTATGTTGATAGAGTCTGAACTAGATCGGCAATGGCTAATTGAAACAGCTGGAAGATCAACCTAGGCCCTATCCAAACGACAGTCAAAGACGCCCCACCGAACCCGCAAGCCGATGGTCTCGGCTACAATCCTCGCTGCCTGAGTCGCGATATCAGTACCCAGGCTTCCAACGAGACTAGAGATGAGATGGTCGTAGACCTCATCAAGAACTACCCTGATATACTCAGCTTCCAGAACAAGATGCAGAACTTCACTCAAGGGGTTATGGGCGTTCACAATGGGGGACATTACACGATTGGTGGTGATTCTGGAATGGACATGTATGCTACACGCCGCCTCACCATCGCTATCATGAGACATGTACTGACTAAACCGCAGGTTCAACTCCCCAGCAGACCCAGCCTTCTACTTCCACCACGGCATGATCGATCGCGTTTGGTGGACATGGCAGAACCTCGACTTGAAAAGCCGGCAGAACAGCATCGCCGGTACCATGACCTTTCTGAACAATCCACCGAGCCGCAATGCCACTCTTGATGACGTGCTCAGCGTGGGGTATGTCGGTTCACCGAACATCACCATCAAAGACGCTATGAGCACGATTGCAGGGCCGTTCTGCTACGTGTATGCTTAGTTCAGATGATCAATAATACTGAAGAGCAAGTTTATACACTCCAAATGCTTGTATAGCACCATGAATGTTACATCGCACTACGCCCTGCCTGTCATTGATGCAAGAAAGTGATGTATTCCGCAGCATCATCGCTCAGCCCACACAACTCGTTGAAGTTCCCAGCTTCCTCTCCCTTCTTTCTTGTTCTCTCGGCAAAATCCGCCAGTGGACAACTCTTCCCGGGACCACTGTCACAGCCCGGTATAGCGGTAATGCCGTCGTTGATGTTGAGTCTGACGAACTTCTCGGCTGATGATTCGGGTCTGGTCTTGCAGGACAGTAGTTCGAAAATAATACGGCCGCCCATCGGCGACACCTGAGACTTCCGCCATTTGCGATCATGGGCGATGTGAGTGATGGGAAGGTGTTCAGGGTCATTGATAACATCTAGCGCAGTCATGAGCGGCGCTATATCACCGTCATGAACACTTATCTTGAGTCAGTATTGCTCGCCCCAATGGTTTGTGGTCTCCATGGTTCGAAGAAAGACTCACAAGCTAAAGAACAATGGGCCAGCGCTTGGGCCCTCAAGTAGCAGGTTCGTTGTAGCATTCAGCCACAGCCACCCCATACTGGTGGCGTACTTCTGGCCTGGGCCTGCGCGATAATAATGCAGGATGTCTCGCGCATATTCAAAGCTGAGAAACTCGTCTCGAGTGAAGACGTCACACCAGTCGCTGCGACCGCGTACTGTCGTCTCGAAACCACACATTTCCTGCATAGCGTAGATCTCGTGGTCGTCAAGGCTCATACCTGTCTGGCTGAGTAGTCGCTCGCGAATGGGCGGCATATATGTGGCCCTGTACTCGTGCATCAGACGATAGCCCTTCTGTTGGCCTTCTGCTTTGTCTTTCTTGTTGGCCAGGCATGTTCGTCCAGGTGTTAGAGTATCTGCACCAATCGAAGAATGTTCGGATATGACCTGAAGAGTAGCTGTATTGCTAGTGCTATAGTCGATGCCGAAGAAGCCTGCGGCGAAGTGCTTAGCTGTCTCGATGACGCGGTTTGAGTCGCTGGCCCAGAATGTAGTAGGCTTATTGGAAGGAGTCAAATCAGCTTGTTCCAGAAGATGCTGGTAACGTGTACGCAGACGAATGCCGGTGGTGAAAGAGGAAAGTATACCCGCGAAAGGCCCAGTAGTTGTCAATTGCTCCAGCTGGGTATCGTCTGAAGACCAGAAGAGCTCCCAATCATTGAAGAACGCCAAGTTGCCCTCAAAAGTCTTGTTACTGTCTTTCATGCGCTGAACGACTGCTTTCTGCTTTCTACCCGCTTTCTTCGTGGGATAGCGCTCAGCATGCCTAGACATCATGTGAACCTGCACCACCTCGCATCCCTCTGGCGGAGCAACACCTCCGTCAACGACATCGATGATCTTTTCCACCCATGGCCCATTTCCACCGAGATGGTACAAGATATTCCAATCTTTTGTTACAGCTCCTGCACCGAGGCCGTGGTCGAGCTCCGCGCCATCGCTTCGCTGAGGATGAAACCAACTATCCCAGCTCGAACTGTAAGGCTTATCGGCGCAGCCATCGCCAAGATATTTGGATCGCGATTTCGCGATGTTTGATCGGCATGATGAAGGGCATGTGGTTAGGCCGAGCGCAGAGAGAACCGAATTTGGGTATATGCTCTGCGCGATCGATACTACGGCCACGATGATTGCTGTCAAGGCAATCCACTGCGACCGTGGGGGCATCGTGGCGCTGGGGAAAGATATTGACGTGCGTTATGCGAAAGAATAAGGAGAATCAGAATAAGTCATCTTCGTTGACGCTCGATGACAACACGGCTCGGGCGGTGAAACTCTCAAACGCTCGTTCCTGCCCAAGAGTGGGTCGCAGTTCTTGCCCCAACCCTTCACCACATCTCTTGAGTATATGCGTCGGCATACTTGCAGTTGCTCTTCGTAGGGTGTTGGCTCGGCTGTGGCGTGCAACACTTGGTTCCTTCCAGTTGAGAAGAAACGCGGGCGCGTCACATACGATCGATGACGCAGGGCGTGGTGGGCCTCGGCACGCCGATCGCTCTCCACGTTCGCGTCTTCCGCGTCGCTCCCACCGCGTACCCAAACGACTACACAGGTGCCCTGCAGTCTACGATAGTCGTCAAAACGAAGCTCGACGAGATATCAAGGAAACTTCAATAAGGCGAAATCTGTGATAAAAAGGCTATATACTGATCTTCATACTCAGCTTCTTCGCAACTTCCCGCACCTTCTCCACGTCCACACTCCTCGTCTGATCCGGAACCACCTTCCCCTCGAACGCGCCCCCAGCCTCTGCAATCAACGTCTCCAGTCCATCTCCACTAGCATACGACCAGAACCTCACATAGCGATCCACAAACTCCACCGCCACCTCCGTCCCAGCTGGTATAAATGCCGTCTCACCCGCCCGAACCAAATGCCCTGCCTCGCCGTTCACCGTGAGCGAAAGCGCCCCATCGAGTACAAAGTACACCTGATGTACCTTTTCAAACACAAACCCCTTACCCAATACCGAATTCTTCAACTCGCTCCCAGACTCAATACTCGTGATGGCAAAGTTGCCCGATGGTCCTTTGCTCTGTCGCATGGTGATAAAAGGCCTGGATAGCACACCCTCGAGTAGGAAACACGGCCCAGTGTTCGCTTTGAGAAAATACGCTTCCTGACCCTCTGGTAATACACACTCCCCCTCTTCCCAATCCGCCACCTCAGCGCCCTGGAACTGCGGTTGGAAGACCACATCGAACCGTTCTTTGATCTCGCGTATCTTAGGTCCAAAAACAGCGCCCGTATTACTATCGTCAAACTCATCACACAACACACCGCCATAATCCTCGCCCACGAACCGGAAGAAATCAACCCAGTCCCCCGGCGTGACAAGACCCATCGATTCGTTAGGCCCTTGATCCAGTAATTGCGGCTGGTGCACCACACCAGGTGGCACGTGGGCGAAGTCTCCCGGGTATAGTATGCGGCATTTGTCTCCAGCCCAGATCTTCAATCGCCCTTTCGTGCACATGAAGACGTCGTGGGCGTGGTTGTGGTAGTGGAAACCTGGGGGGTCGGATAGGACGCCGTCTTGGCCGAAGACGCTCATAGTGTTGTTAGTCTCGGCGGCGGAGCAGAGGATGCGGAAGACGGCTTTTGTGCCAGGGATGGTTAGGTGTTCGCCTGTGTGAGATGGGAGGAGGTAGGGTGTTGGTGCTCCGGCAGGGAGGGAGACGCGGGGGAGCTTGGTTTGTTGGGTTGCTGGTTTGAGGGGAGGAGAGGGAGGTGGCATGATAGAGTCGTTGCGGGAGAGGGTTGGGGCGCCTGTCGTCGCCATGTTGGATATTGACGTTGAGAGGGTTGTGCTTTGACGAGAGCTGTGTATGAAGCACAACAGTAGGCCGGTCCGCAGTATGTCAAGGGATATCCAGTAGAAGCCAGTAGGTCAGCTTTTATACAGCCACCAGGTAAACATTTACCCACACGTAGATCTCTCCTTCATACATACCCATCTGTACACCCCATCACAGCATAGCTAACACCATCGTGTGATCCACCATACATACTCTCTCCACAACAACATCTGCCGATAGATCTCCAGACATCGCTATACCTCCCACCGAGACCCCGGACAGCGGTGTGTATACGGCAAGCATACTACGCACATCCCAGTATCTGATGACTGATCACACTGAAAGGGAACACAACGCAAGACACACACCAACCACAGCAAAGTCATAAAACGCTTCTCCACAATGTTTAATCCACGCTTAGTAGTGAGGCAAAGCGCTTGTGTTCAAAAGAGATGGAATGAGACAAATGTAGCTAGCCTTCACCACAATGATAGGGCTGACGCCGCGGTAGCGTCTTGAGGTTCGGCAAGTGGAGAGAGAGTGCCGATGATATACCCTGTCGTGTCCCCAACTTTATTGCGAGTCGGCAACACAACAAGATCCGCCGACTCCATGCACAACAATCCACGATGCTTTACACGGGCTACATTCGGTGTCGTTGGGCCATCGTTTGATCTGCTGCATACATGTCGGTAAGACGATCATTTCGCACTCCGATGTCACCGATGACCGAGACTACTTGCATTTACGAGATGTACCGGCACGTTCATGTCGTTTCCTAGAGTTCGTGAAGCAGCGAAATGGATATCTACATTCATTCGGATATCAAGACTACATAAAACAACGTGACAACACCTCAACGCCTCTCCCTTTTTACCATACTACTACCGTAAATGCATCTGCTCATCCCACCTACTTCGGCCCACTCCACTTCCCACTAGGCCCATTGCCCCTCCCTCTAAACCCACCACCACCACGAGCGCCGCCCCTACCCCTTGGACTCCTCATCTTCTCGACTCTTCCCTTGCCTCCCCTACCTTCCCCACCACTGACATTGCCGCCCCTTGTGCGTTCCTGTCCTAGACCACGCCGCTGGCTCTTTTGGCCGGCGCCGCCGCTCTTCACGCCACCCCTACCCATTCCAGAGCCGGATTTCGCCTTTCGCACTTCTTGCCAGTCTGCTTCGCCGCCGTCGTCGTCCATGTCCATTTCGTCGTCTTCATGTGTGCGCTTGTTGCTGAACTTAAGACGGCCTTTTTGACCTTGCTGGGCGGTGTCGCGACCGCGGATGGCGTCTACGTAGGCGTTGATGCCGGCTTCCAGAGATGTGTTCTGATCGTCGATGTCCATGAGGACGTCTTCGTCGGGTACTTCGTGCTTCTTGGACTTCTTGCCCTTTGTCGGGGCGTCCTCGTCCTCGTCGCCGATGATGAGCTTGCCGTCCTCGTTTGTGCGGGCGTTCATCTTCTGTGGCTGTTTGCGTTGGCGCAGGGGTTTCGTTGAGGAGATGTTACCAAGAGCGTTCTTAGAGAGGAGATCAAGCGGCTCATCCTCGTCTTCGATGATGTATGTGTTGCCGCCCTTTGCGCCTCCCCGCTGTTGCTTGCTCTGGCTCTTGACGAATTCGT